GCTCCGACGAAGGGCTAACGCTCGAAACGTCAGCTTTTGGAATCGTTACGGCGGCCAATTTACCACTTCAACTTTGTTGATATATCCAAATTATTTCGTTACTCCCACCGACGCCGCCCGGCCCCAAACAGTTTCTTTCGAAACTATCAGCCTTTATTCCTAAGTTTTCTAAGTTTCGTGCACGTCCCGGGATTTGACTTGAATTGCTTCCGCTTCCTTTCTTGATGTCGACATGGAATGCCGTCAAATTGTTACAAAGTTGTTAGACCAACAAAGCCAATACCTGTCTAGATTTCCTTTAATTTTCAAACTGAAATATGCGAAATCGAAGAAAAAGGATTTTGTCTAAGTGGGCCGCTGCACAAAGGTACTTTCAAACATAACACTGTTACGGCAAGCGAACATCAAGACCGAATGAAGAGCCAAGAAAATCGCGACCGGAGAAAATACAAACCAAACCAGGGGATACGTTACGGAGACATACCTTACAAAGGGACTTATATAACCAATTGTATTCATTTAAACATGTGGCGACGTTAATTGACAGCGTAAATTAATCTACCATTTTAATAAAAGGAACTAATAAATGAACTAAGTGCCACGACAAACACAAAATATATCTACAAAATAAAGACGAAAGACTTGCTCAAAACAAGATAAACGAAAATTATAACTATAAATAGCCGCCTGACGATACGAAGGTGGTGACTAAATAACACACACAAAGGCATAAGATCATAACAAGGGAAACGCTACCTTGGATAAATGGGGCAAGTTATAAAAGTGAAAACAAGCAAATACAACTTACATATCGGTCCCTGTATGCTGGTAGCTTGAAACCAAACTCAAGAAATTAACTTGGGATGAACGCCGGACACTAACGGTGAACAGTGAAAATGCGTACGATGCAACAACTAAAATCAGCGGGAGAGAAAGACTCTCCGCTATCCGAAGAAATCACATGACACGAAGGCTAACTGTAACACAAATGTCACGAAATTTTAAAGTCATGCATTTACATACACTGAACTCCTGAGTTGGAGGGGAAATTTTGCGCCTCTTGGGAGAAGCCAGAATTTCTCATTAAAATATCAGTTACAAGCTATTGCGGTGGACGATCCGGACGCGATCGACGGTGGAAGTATAGATAATGGACGATAGACCTGGTCATATGATCTTTATCTAAGTAGCTCGGTCTATTTTACAACTGAACATGAAATGATTGCGTGAAAGAATTTCCTCAATTAATGTCCCATAAATCGTTTTGCCACAGGTCGTTATGATGCAATTGAATGAAGAATGTCTTCAATGTCGCAAAAATATTGTTGTCAAAGTAAAAAAAAAGGCAGCTGCGGATAGTTGTAGTACATACAAATGTAAAGAAAATTGATAAGTAATAAGAACTGGTCAGAACTCGAAACCGGATGACTTTCGGACACCTGTGTCAATATTATAGTAATTAACGCAAAATAAGGCGCGCTTTGACTTTTAAAAACAATAGTATAATCAGGTCAATCACGTGCGCAGCTCAAAAGCGTTTACAAGAGTACCGCCTTGGCCTTTTCTATATAAATTAAGCTAGATATCAAGCCACACAAGCTGTTTCCTCTTGATATTCTAAAGAAAAAAAATGTAGCATCTCACTCGTTTGTTATTTTTCTCAAAATACAGAATAAAGATAAAGATTCCAAAGGAAAATATTAAAGACAAAATACTTCCTGATGTAATATGTTTGCTAACAGTCACTTATTTATCTGCTTATTTTTAGAATAAGCACAAGACAATTATCGACTTGGAGGTGGTGTAAGAGAATCCTTTCCTCGAGCAAACATTCGACGAAATTCCAGCGGCTTGTTTAATATGTGACATCATGGCTTCGTTCAAATAAGAGAAGTACAGTCTCCCGCGTTGATCAAAAGTACAGGGGAAAGCTGCGCGAAGCGGACTTCGTGCCAAGCTAAGGCGCGGCAATAATTGTTTTAAAGTCAATTAAGAGCCCAATTTTTGTTACTTGTAATCAATGTTTTTTATTCTGACATATTATAGGACTTTTCAAACCTTTTTCTCCAATCCCATGATAAGTGCTATTCTATCTACCGCGCCAAAGCGGCCAAATTCCAACGGTTGCTGACATAATAAATCACACTAATATATTTGGAAATCAAGAACTGAACACCGTTGCGAATGTAGACCTGTGTCGAGAGGGTCTCAATGAGGTTACAGTTAAACCAGTTGGCCATCAGCATAGTTAGTAGAGGGGACCCTCTACTAACTATGCCATCAGCTAGTATCTTTCCGTTGAGATTATAAGAAAAAAAATTGCGGTCAACTTTTTTCACGACTTATTATGATGGTTAAAATTTGTCCATTTTACGGCTAATTTTTTGGCCGGCTAATGGTTAACCCCATTCAGACCATCTACCGGGGGAACATGTCTATCAGACACTTCATGGGGAGAGCTTGAATAACACTGGCATATATACACCTCATGCAATTTTCACTTTATACATTCTGTATTAGGAAAAGAAAAAGATCGACACAAATGCATTGTGTATGGTGTACTCACTACATCAACAGAGACTCTAGATACGCAGGAAATACATTTTAATGAATCTGCGCCTATATCGGGGGAGCAACAAACTTCCACTTTCTGTCATTTACGGCTAAATTTATCCTGTCTTCCGTTTGCTTATTTTTCTATTATGGCAACTGTTATTTTCCTTCGCTTCTTGTCTCCTGGGATATTTTAAGAGCAAGTCAT